GATCAGAGCAGAAAGAATTCTTCCTGTTTCAAGGACATAAATGGAGAAGGCAAACTTCACTGGATTACATTTCAAATTTCCACACCAAATCCAATAAGATGATCCTTCAAGGGAGAGAGAATTATTTTCAGCTAATGGCTTCTTAACTTAAACTTGAGGTAGAAATCTGAGCCTAAGATAAAGGTTGGTGCCTGGCAAGTTAAGGCTTGTAATTCTGCTCAATTTGAAACTCTGTAAAAATCTTGTCATCTTTTTATACACCCCCCCCCTTCTGTGCCATTTCCCTTCACTCCCTTTGGTGCTTTGAAAGAAATGGAAAAAGAAAGAGGGTGGAAAGGGTATGGTTTGTCTGGGCATGTCAGATGTCTAGATTCCCTTCCTTTACACAAGAGCACACTTTCACCTCCCATGCCTGGCTCGGGGTACAGGTTTCTCCCTCCCTCTCTCCCTTCCTTCCTTTCAGTTTGTTATAATTGTTTTATCCAAAGACATTTTGGGCCTGAGAGTAAAACTCAGTGGTAGTGTGCCTCTGCTTTTTTGTTGTTGTTGTTGTTTTATCTTTGGTTTTTTGAGACAAGGTTTCTCTGTGTAGCCCTGGCTGTACTGGAACTTGCTCTGTAGACCAGGCTACTCTCAAAATCACAGATCCACCTGCCTCTGCTTCCTGAGTGCTGGGATTAAAGGCGTGCAGCACTACTACCTGGCTGGTAGTGTGTCTCTGTAGCATTCAAGAGGCCCTAGGTTCAATACCATCGATCTTCCAAAAACACCACTGAAGCCAAAGACTCTTTCAACACTAAGAGGGGTCACTTGAAAGAATGTTCGTCTATACAGAGAAACCCTGTCTCGAAAAACCAAAAAGAAAAAGAAAAGAAAGAAAGAATGTTCGTCAGGGGCAGTGACTTTGAGGGCATCTGAGCAGATCTATCATACCTGGATAGATTGTCTTGCTGAAAGAGTTTACTGACGAATATCACTCATGTATTTATCACATTCATTACTGAACAACAAAACTGTCTTTAATGTCCTTTAGTGCGGGCTGATGAAATGGCTCAGTGTTTAAGATGTTTGCCATGCAAGCACAAGGACCACAGTCTGAAGCCCAGATCTTACACAAACTCTGGGTGGATATGGCTGCCACCTGCCACGTCAGCACTTAGGTGATAAAGATAGAGAATCCCTGGTGAGCTAACCAATTAGATTAGTCAAATGGGGGGGGGGGGGGCAGGTTCAGCTAGAGACCCCACTTTGGTAAATAAAATGGGAGAAACCAGCAAAGGTAACCAGTGTCGACCTCTGGCTTCCACATGCATGTGTTCATATGTGTACACACACGCCCATATGCGCGGAACAACCTATTTTGGGGAAAGAGAAGACTTTTACTTTGTATACATTTCTTTGTCATTGAATTTTTTTTCATTTTTTTGCAATATGGTATCACTAAGTAGCCCTGGCTGGCCTGAAACTCACTATGAAGACCAGGCTGACCTTAAAGTCACAAAGATTCTTCTGCCTCTGCCTCTCTGCCTCTGCCTCTCTGCCCCTCTGCCCCTCCTCTGCCCCTCTGCCCCTCCTCTACCCCTCTGCTCCTCTGCCTCCCAGTGCTAGAATTAAAGGTTTGTGCCACTACCCTCAGCATGGAACTATGGAGCTCAGCAACTTTCAGCACAGTTTTCTGTCTGAAGCAGCTGCTAGGACAGCGAAAACACCAGCACCTTTCCTGGATCAACAGCAGATCTGCAGATATTTGTCCACAAAAGCCAAGTGTAACTATTCAGAAATTTAGTTCTACATGGAAAGACAACACATGTAGCAAGAATTCTTAAATCAAGAAAGATAGCTACTGTATGAATGTTTACTCAGCCCCTCTCTGCTCTTTGCCTTTACTGTAAACAGAATTGGTAAGCATGTACAAACAAAATTTCCAAAATATACTACGTTGAACAGAAAATTCCCATGGAGCCATGCAGGCAGTCCAAGGAAAAGAAAGATGTAAAGTGTTCTCTGGTACCCCTTGTCCTGACAGAGTAACCAGCTTCTTGGAGTGATTTGGGCCTGTGCAAGTCACACTGACCACACAGGTGGGAAAATTCATCTCCTGCTTTTCTTAATGGGAAATTCACCTAAGGCCCTGGCTTTTAAGTACACATTACAGGCACCAAAAACATCAATTACTTCAATCTGTCCATCCTGGGGAGGTGAGAACAGAAATTCTACATCTTCCTACCTGCCCTGTTCTTCATCACCAAATTAGCTACTGGCTGATTAGCACACCAATTAAAACCAGTGAAAACAAACACAACACCAACAGCTGCAGTTTTTATAGCAGATCCCAGAGGCTAATGAGCTCAGTGGGTTAACCAGCCAAGCTTTTCCCAAGCAGCAAGGCTGCCACAGTAGAATAACATGCCACCCCTTCCAAAAACCCAGCCCTGAAAACGGAAAAGAAGTCTGTGAAACACATCTCCTTGGAAAAGCACAGGTGACTTGGTTTCTGAGACTTACATTCAGAGGAGCGATTTCTCTGGTTTCCTTAAGTGTCGCTTCATGCCCTGTAGCCTCATGGGGCCTCCTGTGCACTGCTGAGCCCAGCCTTGTCTGACCTCACAGCTGCTGGTCAGTTACCTTTTGGGAAGCTCTCAGCCCTTCTCGCTGCCCTCCTACATCCTGGTGGTCATTCTGTCTCCTTTACTTCTCTTTTTGCTTTTAACCCTAGTCTTAGTAACCCAGTTAAGTGTCTCACGTGTAGAAGGTGCTCGTGCTTATTTGTTGAATAAAGAAAGAATTCCTAAACTCAGGCCCTCACCACTGTATCCTTTCTCATCTGTGCTCTCTTAAGCTTCAAGTACTGTCTGTATAGAGCAAGTCCAAGTTGCATTCAGAAACATCAAGGCCATAGGAGCCTGGATGTACTTTTGTGTTTGTTGTCAGCCTTGCTCCTAAGTGAACAGAACACAGCAGTGTGAGGAGCTGCACCGAGTACCAACCTACATCCATGCCCTTCACTGTTAGACCTGACTGTCCCACTGCAGGCACAGAGCATCCTTCTTGCCCCTGACTCTTTGTGTAGGCCACATGACTTGCTTTGGCCAAAAGAATGAAAGAGAAGCGGCAGGACAGCTGTCCCTAGAGACGGCCTCTAGCATTCATGCTTGTAATCTGGCACTTCTGACATCCTACAAGAACAAGCCACTGGGCAGGGACAACCAGGTACTCATGCCTAGAGCGGCCACTGTGTGGGTAATGCTGTCAAGTGAATGGGATAGGCAACAAGCCTCTGGGCATGCCAGTGAGGGAATCTCTATGCTCAGTTAGGTGAGGTGGGAAGAGCTACCCTAAATGTGGACAGCACCATTTTCACAGGCTGGGGTTCCTGATAAACAACAGGAAGCCGTCACTCATCCTTTTCTGCCTCCCCTATGGACGCAGTGTGACCACCCTGCATGGATGCCTCACCTCCTGCTGTCCTGCCTCCCACCATGATGGACGGCACTCTTAAACTGTGAGCCCAACAAACGCTTCCTATCATAAAGGTGCTTTTATTGTCGAGAATGTCATTGTAACAATGAGAAAATAACTAAGGTACCCACTGAGCTCTGTTTTAACTCCTAAGGGATCGGAATGCAGGAGCATTAAAGTGTACAGCAAAGTCTGTCGAGCTGGAGGTGGGGCACCAAGCCAGTCTGCCTCCAGAATCCCAGCTCTTGGCACCAAAGGAAACAGGTAACTCTAGCTGTCTCACAGTAGGAGTCGGTTCTTTTTGAAAAGAGTCCTAACTTTCTATTTTCCTCTAGGTCTGGAATCTATAAACCAATAGAAAGTAGTGAACAAAGAATCTCAGAAGAGAAATATAATGATTTCCACATTTCCTCCCCAGTATTAGGGTTCAAACATGAACCTTGTGCATGCTATATAAGAGCTCTACCACTGAGCTGCGTTCCGGCTCCATATGTTTGGGTTTTGTTTGTTTTTAGTTTTTTTGCGATAGGGCTTCCCAATTATATAGCTCTGGTCGTGCTAGAACTCACTATGTAGACCTAGCTGGCCTTGAACTCATAGAGATCCTCCTGCCTCTGCCTCCTGAGTGTTGAATTAAAGGTATGTGTCATCATGCCTGGCTCCATATGCTTTCTAAAAATATTTTAATAATTACTTATGTGTATATGCACATGGGTGTGTGCATTTGTGCAATGCCCACAGAGGCCAAAAGAGAGCATTAGATTCTCTGGACCTGGAGTTATAAGTCACTGTGACTCCCTGTAAGAGCGGCATGCACTCAGATGCTGAGCCATCATGCCACCCCGTAATTTTTTTTTAATGAATAAATATTAAATACCTCAAGCTGAGGTTGAGGTATAGCTTACTGGTGTTTACTTGTGTGAGGTCCTGGATTTACTTCCCAGAACACCCCCACCCACATAAAACAAAAACAAACCACCAAAAATAATAAAACAAAGAAACCAGAAAAATTAAACCCAAACCATTTGAAAACACAAAAAACTTTGTAGCTTTTTCCTTTGTGCATGCATATGTGCATACTTGAGTGTCTGTGTGTCTGTGTGTGTGTGTGTGTCTGTGTGTGTGTCTGTGTGTCTGTGTGTGTGTGCGCACACACATGCACACATATGTGGAGGACAGAGGACAGCTTGCAGGAATCAGTTCTCTCCTTCCATTATATGGATCAGGGAGGGGATCAAGCTCAGACTAAGTGGCCTGGGCCTTTACCTGCTGAGCTACCCCACTGGCCCCAGTTAACATCATGAGAGTTCATGAATGAACCATTCTTTACTTCTCTCACCTGAAGGAAATAGGATTTCATCTCTAGAATGATAAAGTAAACATGATACTTCACTATTATGAGACATTGAAACTTTCCAGGAATGTTCTTATCACTCAGATCGTCCCACTTAGGAAGCAGAAGATGGACAAATGACCAGTTGTGTCTTGTGGTTGTACCCATCAAATGAACATGATACCATCTTTGGTCCACATTAACTTACCTTGAATTGCAGATAGATACACAAAAGAGTCCTCATGCTCCAAGTTCTCCAAGAATATCTGAAAGTACAGAACAGAGTAAGACAATCCTCAAGGAACAAGAAAGATGCAGAACCCTTCATCTGTTGCCTCCAAGAAAAACATGCTTCCTCTTGGTAGAAATTGGTCTGACATAGAATCACCAAGGAAAATGGTATATTTAAGTCTAATTAAAAGGGGAAGGATTAGGGGGAGAAACTTCTTAATGTCATTAAGCACTAGTCACGGAAATCAGAACAATCAGAAAGTGAAAACCTGGTATGCAAACCTAGCAATCTGAGTTTGATCCTTGGATCTGAATCCCATGGTAGATGAAGAAAACAAGCTCCCATAACTTATCCTCTGACGTGTGCATGCACACACTGCAGCATATGCTCACACTCACACATGCACATCATACTCACACAATAATATCCATAGAACTTGGTGTTTTGTTTGAGACAGGGTTTCTCTGTGTAGTCCTAGCTGTCCTCAAACTCACTTTGTAGACAGGCTGGCTCCGAACTCACAGAGGTCTTCCTGCTTTTGCCTCTCCAAGTGCTGGGTTTAAAAGTGTGTGCCACCATGCCTGACTCATAAAACTTTTCAAAAAGAACAATCCTCAATATTCTTCTGTGCTAGCCCATGGACAAATTTTCAACACAGGTGGGCAGATATAGTCTGATCTGTTTTCCTGAGCTAACACACCATGATAACGGTGACAGTATCAGAGGCAATTTTATGTCTAGTACACTTTTTAAGTAGCTTGCAAGTGTAGCCCTTTGATTGACACTGCTAACAAACTACTCTCATTCTTTCCCAAATTTGGAACTTATCAGGGTGCCAAATGCAGTATAGTGTACCAAGAAGACACTGCTGCCATGTTAAACTTAACATGTTCCCATATGCCCTAACATGGGCACAAGGGAAACCCAGCAGCATGTGCCCATGCTCCTCCAGCTTCCTGTCGAGGGCTGGTAGGAGTACCTGCTCTTATACCGTGCTATATCCTTCAGCAGACAGTCTTGACTTCAACCTCCTGCTGCTGGTGTCTATGCTACTGAGAGAGAGCTGAAGATTAGCCTGGACGGGATGATGACTAGGTTGGAAGATGTTGGGATTGCATATGGAATGAGGAAAACTTAATCCAGATTAGCAGACATGAGAATAAATAGATATTTTAAACACTTCACAGATGAATACTTGGCAGGCATGCTGGCCAGGGTTTTGTCAACTTGACACAAGCTAGGATCATCTGGGAAGGGAAAACCTCAATTGAGAAAATGTCCATCATCAGATCGGCTGCAGGCAAAACTGGAAGGCATTTTCTTGATTAATAACTGATGTGGGCGGGCCCAGCCCACTGTGGGTGGGGCCACTCCTGGGCAGGTGGTCGTAGATGCTGTGAGCAAACCAAGGGGAGCAAGTCAGGAAGCAGCACCACTCCACAGCTTTTGCATCAGTTCCTGCCTTCATGGTCCTGCTTCGAGCTTCTGCTTTGACTTCTCTAAATGGACGTCAACCTAGGATATGCAAGCCAAATAAATTCTTTCCTTCTCAAAGTTGCTTTTAGGTCATAGCAATAGAAACCCTACCCAAAACAAGAAGTCTTTAAGGTAGAAGAAAGAGAGGAACAAGAGGGTTATAAAATACACATGTCATGACAGCAGAAGGGGTTTGACCTGGAGGAAGAAAGGGGCCAGCAAGAGTCAAGAGGGGGAGCAGGAAGCTGGGGTGGGGTGTGAACTGGAGAATCCGGATCAACTGGATGAGGGTTAGAGTCACCTCAGGAAGAAACCTCTGGGCATATCTGTGAGGGAATTTCTAGACTCAGTTACTTGAGGTGGAAGAGCCACCCTAGCTGTGGGTGGTACGACTCCATGTGTTGGTGTCTAGGACTCAATCAAAAGGGGAATGGAAGCCAGTGAGCGGCTGAGCAAGCAAGGGTGGCTGCTGCCAAGGGAGACGGGCTGAATTGGTCCCAGGAACCGACCCCTTACACTCTGTCCTCCGAGCGCCAGAAACTCACTATGGTGCCCACATGCCTCCCCTATCCCACTTCACAAAATCAAAATTTAAGTGTAAGCAAAACATGCTTGCTTATTCTTTTTTAAAGGAAAAAGGAGCTAGGCATTCCTGTGTCTCTGCTTCCTGACTCCAGAGGGAAGGGAGCAGCTGTAGCCGTGACTTCTCTGCCAGCATGGACTGCATCCTCAAACTACGAGCCAAACCGACCCTCTCTCCTTAAACTGTTTGTCAAGTGTGTTGTCACGTCAGTGAGAAAAGAAATGCAGGAGACAAATGAGAAGAAAATATAGAGGAATACCAAAATGTTACACTAAAACCCATTTCCTTGCATGATAACCAAAAACTAATTTAAAAAAATAAAAGGGACAGGAGTGTGGGGGTGCATGCCTGTGATTCCAGCACTTGGGAGGTAGGAGGATAAGGAGTTCAAACTCAGTCTGGGCTACATGAACCTTTTTAAAAAAAAAAAATTCAAAAATAAGTCTGGCGTGATGGGACACGCTTGTAATCCCAGCCCTTTGGAGATAGAGTCAAGAAGATCTGGGTTTCAGGATCATCTAGGTTTGGATGATGGACCAAGTTCAACAACAGCCTGGGGCTCCCCGAGACTTTGTCTCAGGAAAAAAGAAAGAAAGAAAGAAAGAAAGAAAGAAAGGAAGGAAGGAAGGAAGGAAGGAAGGAAGGAAGGAAGGAAGGAAGGAAGACAGAAAGAAAGAAAGAAAGAAAGAAAGAAAGAAAGAAAGAAAGAAAGAAAGAAAG